ACACTTCTGACTTATTTCTTATTTAATATTTTATGTAAATTTTTGGAAACTATTTTATATTTTTTAAACAAGTCTGTTTTTTACAGATTCCTACGATTTTATATTTTACATAAGCTTCTGGAACTTATTTTATATTTTTTATTTCAAATAATTCGTGTATGTTATTTTATCAAGCCATGATCGGCATCATACGTAAATTTAAAGAAATACAGAATAATTTGCAGTAATAATAACCGAAAAATTAAATAATGATTAACAAGATATTTAGTACTTTTATCCAAAACTGTATTTAGACAATATACTATACAAATTGTTTCACGATATTAAGAAAATTTGTATGTATCTTTATATAAAGAACATATGTATATAGAATATTTTATCAACGTTTATTTAAATATGAATTAAAAAGAACAATGAAAATTGAGACATAATGTTGGAATATCAAAAATACCCCACGCGAATAATTACTAATTACGTTTAAAAGAATTACAAGTAATATAGGATTGTGCCACAGATGCCACAAAGCAAAACGCGAAATGTATAGCGATATCTGTTTGTCGAAATCGTGTAAAATACGAATAATTGAATAAACTGTGAATATTTTTTTTATACGCAATAATTGGGTATTCGATCAGCGCTCGGCGAACAGCCAAGGGAGCGTGTCACATGGCGAGCAGAGTGAGGGTTGGGGGAGCGTGCGGCGCGATAGTTGACTACGTTACTTCGGCATTCGCTCGGCGATCTCGGAGGGAGATGGACGTGTTTTACGGTGTCGCATTAATTAATGAAAATTAGATATCTACGAACACGAATTATGTAAGGTTGCCTAAAACTAAAGAGTTAATAGGTTTTGTTGCACAGTTTTTTTACTTCTTAAATTCATTACGCACATACACAACTCGTGGATATTTCATGTGTTCTCACATGTACAGTATAAAAATGAAATTCTTATTGTTAGATATTTCAAGTTGTGGCTTTTTATCATATAATTCTGTCATTTTCATGTTACTCCGCATTCTTATAATATGAGAAAAGTAACAGATAAATTATATTTAAAATTATAAAATGAATGTCATAAATATGTTCCTCGGTATATAAATCACAATATAATTATGATATCACATCAAACGACTCGCGCCGTTTAAAATTAAATAAATAATAAAATTAAATACATACAAGAAATTCTTTTATTAATTGGAGAACATTAAAAATGTAAAGAATATATTATTTTATTTATTCGTAATATTCATTATTATTTCGATAGTTAGACGGTTGGCGCGCGACCTTGGGATGGGAATGGCACGGGATGACATAGACCGGCATGTCATGTTTACGTTCACGTTACCGCGCAGTTATTCTCTTTACCGAGATTCGTACAAGCAGATAGTCGTGCGGCTTTTTCACATTACTTTTTGAAATCTTATCGCGAAGAATACCAAATATAATACGAAACATTGTACTTGTGATGAATGAATAATTAATCATACTAGTAATCGTATATGAATATTCATAAAATACAACATTTCGTATTATATCTAGCATTTTTTGCGATTATATGTGTTTCAAAAAGAAATGTGAAGAAGAGCAGCACGCGACACTGCAGCTACTTGTCTGTACAAACATATCACATGGGTCATAAAAAAGCAACGTTAATATGAATATTCTCATACAAATAATTCCTGCTTTCACAATTAATATAGTTTAATAATTTAATTAATTTTTTGTTTTTGTGCCTTTCGTACGATTCGTTTAAAAATTAAACATAATTTTGAAACTATTTATCGATAATAAAAAAGAAATATTTCTCTTTTTTTATTAATCTCTAATCCATTTCATTCACTCTAATCATATCTTACAGACATCATCTATAAATAAAAGATTCAATTCTTTTATCTGTTTCGAATTTCACAATGATAAAGAATTGGAGACGTGTGTTTGATATTCATTTCTAAAAGTTAACCGATTGCATAGTAATATAGATAATAGCTATATGTTACATTTTTTCAGATTCCCTTTCATAAATACGACGTAGTGAGAGAGCTCAGAGGTATCCAGAGGATATTTATGTAAACGAAAAGAACGGTTTTTCTCAAGTAGTCAAAACATTTTCTATTTGAATGATATGTCTAGATAAATTTTTAGATATTGAGTAAAATCGTTCTCTTCGTGTAAAAATCTAACGTACCCTCGTCGCCGACTTACTTGAAAATGAATCACAGCCGGTTCGTCGCATCGCGTGTTTGTTTCGGAAGTGCCGTTCAAGTCGGACTCAAGTTATAGTTCGCGCAAGTGAGTAAAGTGCATTATTCGCGAGTGTTTTGCGCGAGTGTCAAGTATGAGAGGATGTCAACCATATTCTAAGAGGAAGAGGAGGAGGTCTGAAAGAGACACCGGTGGAGAAACTTTTCGGTAAATATTATTTTTTACTTATGTAAAAAATTAATCTTTTTTGCTTGTTTTTAAATCATTTTATTTGACAGTGATATAAAAATGATTGTTTTAAAATCATTGTTAAATAAAATAATTTAAATTTATATTCTATAAAATAATTATATATTTTCTTTAAAATAATTATATATATATTCTCTATAAAAATTATACATATATTATACATTTTTTAAAGAAGATTTTAGCAAAAATAAATATATATAAAATTTTTAAGTAATTTAAATAATA